ATGCAGTAGTATCCAGTATATACATATGATGCACGATCCTCACAGTAGAGAGTGCTATTTATGCAATAGCGAAAATCAGACCTGAAAAAAATCAGGCCTGTATGGGATTCGAACTGCTGACCTCAGCGATACTAGTGCAGCGCTCTACCAATTGAACTAACAAGCCAACTGGGAGCAGGCCATTAAGTTGATTCGTAATAAACCCATAATTATAAATCAGATACAATGAATATATGAAGTTAATATATTTTGAACTGCGGTATTAGATACGTGATGCACGATCCTCGCAGTAGAGAGCGCTATTTATGCAATAGTGAAAATCAGACCTGAAAAAAATCAGGCCTGTATGGGATTCGAACCACTGACCTCTGCGATACTAGTGCAGTGCTCTACCAATTGAGCAATATGAACCATAAAAGCTGATGTTTCGAGTGATTCCAACGAAGGGCTAACGCTCGAAATGTCAGCTTTTGTAATCGTTACGGTGGCTAATTTACCATTTCAACTTTGTTGATATATCCAAATTATTTCGTTACTCCCACCAATGCAGCCCCAAACAGTTTCTTTAGAAACTATCAGCCTTTATTCAACCTTTAGAAAGGATTTAAGTGTGAATTCTAAGTATTCTGAGATGAGTACTCTACTGGTAGGAGTAATTAATAATTTTGATTATTGTCCTTGCCGGAATCTTCTTCTCTGAACAGTTCGCACTAAGAGGCTTAACTATGGCCGCTCGAGAAGGAGCTTACTACCCGCAAGCCAAGAACAGAGAACAACAACAACAACAACAAGCCCCTTTCTCCAGCCAACAGCAAAACCAACTGGAAACACTGCAACACCAAAACTTCCTTTGCCAAGGTTATCAACCAATGGATCACTGCAGAATCTGTCATTGTCATCAAACAAAAATTCTCCCCTAGGCAACCAGTTTAGAAGTCATAGCCTAGTGGTTCAAAATAGTCAGTCAAATGTCAGCAAGGAACAACCCCTAACTTTGCCCAGAGCATCCACTCCTGTAGGATCTCCTGTTTCAATACCTAGTCAATGCATCGCAGGCGATGTTCAGGCAGCCAGAGCTGTAATAAATGTTACTCCAACACAGTCTCTTATCACCATGACGGACTGTGATGAACTTGCTAAAAGTGATGATATTGTCCAAGACATGTTTGACGATGTAACAGCTGGTGATACCTCAAGGGGCTCTGAGTATGATCAGGGGAGAATGGAGGACACAGCTCCTCCTGTGATTGTAGTTAATGAAGAAGTGGGCAAGGACCAGACAATATTGAACACAGAGGAAGAGTCTCTTGCTCAGACTCACCACAACTTGAGCCAGGATGAATTACATTTACGCTCACCAAAACGTAAAGGGTGAGGAGTGTCATTTCATTTTAAGTAACCGTGACAAAAGTGTCCTGCTTAAAATGTGATTATTTGATTAGGTTAAGAAAGATGGTAAATGCACAGCTTGTTTTTCAAGTAAGGAAACATGACATTGTTAAACATTAGTCACAAGCTTAAGACAATTTTGAAAATTATCTGAGTTCCCCAGAATCATTTACACCCTAGAGTGTCAGATTTTGCAGGCAGATGCTCTGCCTTGCAGCTTCAGAGCCCTTGTTGGAAAGTTGGGCCACTCATTAGATACTCTGCCTTGCAGCTTCAGAGGAGCTGTTGGAAAGTTAGGCCAATCAATAGGATTATTTTAGACAAGTGCCTTGTATTCTGTTAACACTCTGACCTCTGAGAGTGATAAGCATTTAATTTTTCCTCCAATATCAACCCTGAATCCCACATTACGGTCACGAGAACAAAGGAAAAGATCACAAACTAGAGAAGTTCTTGTTTAAGATGGGTAATACCCGCAATAAGATAACTGATTTGAAATAGTTCTTAATGGACTATTAATTCCGTCAAGTTGATATGCAAATCTGGATGATCACTGATGAAATAACTTGTCTTAAATCTTTCTTCTGAAATCAATCAATTGAGTAATAATTATTGGACATTGTTTTGTCTCTGTTAGTTTGTTTGTTTTTTGTCATAGTGAAATCAATTTGTTGTATTTGTAGGGTTCAGCCAAAGAAAAGAACCCCTTCAGGGAGCACAGGGTGAGTTACAACATGTCTTTTTGGGCAGTTATGGCAAAATGATAATACCAACGATTTTTTAACACTTTAACTCCCAAGATCTGATTGTTAATTCTCCCCTCTTGCTTCTACACATTTCCTGGTAAATCAGTTTAGAGAGTTAAGTGTTAGATCAGGATAAAAACCTCTACCTGATAAGTTTGGGTATCTTTTTTACCTGTTTGCTAGGTAATCTATGGATGTTGTAGGGAGAAGTTGCATGTTAATCGCTTCAGGGAGTTAAAAGGATGAAAAGAAATTGGAGAAATATTAACATGATATTTATACTAGTTAAGTTACAGTGAAAAACACTTCGCTGGTGGGGGCCAGTTGTGGTTTTGGAGCAGTCCATCCAAAATACCTAATTGTACTATTTTGTCAGTACTACAACTCAAACTCCCCCAAATTTGCTCAATGAGGGTTCTGTTTGCTTGTTTGGTTATTCATTAAAGGACCTCAGGAGCAGCCCCTAATTCACCTTCTAAGCAGGTTCCAGAGTCTGCTGAAGTTGAAATGGACCTTATGTGTTCATCAGATGGTCTGACTCCAGTAAGTATTTATTAGGGAAGTGCAAATTCTTAGGATTTTCTTATAAAGATTGGTGTTGAAGCATCATTACCTGATTGACATGAACAAATTGGTTCACCCTTTCCTTCTCAGGATTGACAAAAAGGAATTTTGCTTAACAGTATCATTAACATTTTCCAGCAGAAATGTGACGAGAAGATCATAGAAATATCAACAGGGAAGTTTTGTTTGATTTAACATCAAATCCTCTGAGCTGAAATTGTAAGCAATAACCTAAACAGTGCCAAAATTTGACTTTAAAATCTCGGGAGTGCAAGGATAAAGAGAAAGAGACATTACATCGAAGAATAATGAGGTAGTGGGCTCACTCCTGAAATCTTTTTACAAAATCCACTGTGATACCTGTGATGGGCCCTTAGTACCTGCACAGAGATAGCAGCTCTCTAAGTTGGTTTATGCTGAAAAACCTCAAGAGATTACCAGTGTCAGTGATAATGCAATTGGCTATTCCAATCCTTTAGTCCCAGAGACTTCACATATACTCAGCAGAGAATTCATGCTTTATTTGAGATGTAATGATGTTTCTCACTTTTGGTGATAATCTTTCAATTTTGCAGCAATCTTTCCTGGGCACACTGCTGAGTACCCCTCTGTTGCAAGAGAAACTTGCAGAAAATATCAACAAAGTAGTTGGAAGGTGAGAAACATCAGCCTTTGCTTCCAATTAATATTTACATGATTTTACTGTGGAACTTCAATCCAGGAAACACCCTTTGGAGTATAAGAAGGAGGCGGCATGGTCAAGTGGTTAGGGTGCTGGACTTGTAATCCACTGTCCCAGGTTCAAATTCTCTACCCTGCCACTCACTAGATTTGTTCTTGGTTGCCCCAAGTTCAACTCCTCAGTTGTGCTCTGTAAATAGCCCACTGGTCTGCCTCCTGCCAGTGGGGATTTTTAAGCTCTTAATTAGTCTACATGGTGGCTGAAAAGCCCCTATGGAGGAGCTTCAATTAACGTATTTATTATTATTATTGTTGCTGTTGTTGTTATTATTATTATTATTATTATTATTTGACAATGAAAAACTGCGATAAAATATTATAAAGCATGACACGACGTTTCGACGTTTCCAGAACGTCATTATCAAGTAAACTAAAATAATAAAATCGAGCATATATATAATGAAGCGGTGAATAAATTACAAAACGTTAAAAGTTAAACAAAGAGTTTAGCCCTAATGGAATCGCTCTGGGTGTTTAAATTGGGCCTTATTGTTCTTATGTACAACATTTCATAAACAAGACAATCCCATTTCGTGCCGCATTTTTTAAGCATTCTAAACTGGCTCTCATTGAGTAAGTCAATGTTCCCATGGGCATCTCTCAGGTGGCGACCAATGGCAGAGTATCGATGATCAGCAATGCGTTGAAACAGATGGCGCGTCGTATATCCGACGTAATTTGAATCACACAAATCACATTTAAAACAGTAAACAACACTATGCTGATTTAAGATGCGTGGCTTGATTTCTTTAAGCTTTAGGTCCTGCTCAAGTTTCTTACTGGTGTAGACTGGTTGTACATCAATGCCAATTTTTGAACTGAGATCGCGCATTTGTCTTTTGGCAATGTTCACTGAGATTTGATCTTTGAAAGGAATACTGACTCTTAAAGTTTCAACAGATTTTGTCTTAGTATCTGGTGTAGAGGAATAATCACATTTGTCGCTATCNCCAGATACTAAGACAAAATCTGTTGAAACTTTAAGAGTCAGTATTCCTTTCAAAGATCAAATCTCAGTGAACATTGCCAAAAGACAAATGCGCGATCTCAGTTCAAAAATTGGCATTGATGTACAACCAGTCTACACCAGTAAGAAACTTGAGCAGGACCTAAAGCTTAAAGAAATCAAGCCACGCATCTTAAATCAGCATAGTGTTGTTTACTGTTTTAAATGTGATTTGTGTGATTCAAATTACGTCGGATATACGACGCGCCATCTGTTTCAACGCATTGCTGATCATCGATACTCTGCCATTGGTCGCCACCTGAGAGATGCCCATGGGAACATTGACTTACTCAATGAGAGCCAGTTTAGAATGCTTAAAAAATGCGGCACGAAATGGGATTGTCTTGTTTATGAAATGTTGTACATAAGAACAATAAGGCCCAATTTAAACACCCAGAGCGATTCCATTAGGGCTAAACTCTTTGTTTAACTTTTAACGTTTTGTAATTTATTCACCGCTTCATTATATATATGCTCGATTTTATTATTTTAGTTTACTTGATAATGACGTTCTGGAAACGTCGAAACGTCGTGTCATGCTTTATAATATTTTATCGCAGTTTTTCATTGTCAAATGTTTTACCAAATCTTTACTTATTCGAATTATTATTATTATTATTATTATTATTTTTATTATAAAGAAGGGCACACTAACTAGCCTGCAGAGCAGGCATCTTTTTAGAGCGTGTGATCGTCTATTTAACTGGCCATCCTCACCCTCCTTATTTTTTCACTGTTGCTCACCCCCTTGGTACCAATTTCTTTCTCTTCCCAGCCTTCTGCTCCCATTAAGATCAAAGATGGCAGCCAGAAATTTTGCTCAGAAAATACTGAGCACTTGCTGGCCTAAATTCCATCTGCTCTGCAGGTTACTCCCCAACTACTAGAGGGTTCTGATAATAATACATACATACATATGTTAGTTGACCACTCCCCATGGGGGCTTTTCAGGGCCAATTCCCACCCATCCCACCCCAGGGGAGGACATCCACAACATAGAAATCTCGTGCATGGGAAATTAACATCTCCTACCCCTAACCCTGCTGGAGATGGGGCCAACGGTTTATTCGTCCTTATCCGAGAAGACTAGAATATCTATCCATTTCTTGATTATAGAAAGGTAGCAATTTCTCCTCACTTATTTTAAGACCATGAGTATGGGTCTGGCCGGGGCTCGAACTCTCGACCTCCCGCACAACACAATCCGGCACTCTAACCAAATGAGCTAACCGGGAGGCAGTTGGAGAGGTTTCTTTTGATGAAGGAAACAGGGATAAACGTCATAAGATCATCTTTTCCTGCCATAACTTCAATTTGTTTCCCTTGGATGAAGGTTTCCCAAAAATAGAAGCCTTTTCATTCTTCTGCAGTTCAAGGCAGCAGTCTGTTGGTGACGAAACCCTCATAGATCTTACTTCACAAAGTTTGATGACAACAGAGGACAGCAGCAGTGATATGCCCACTACATCAAACCAGGTGATAAGACAGTAAAAACCACTTTCTGTTTTCCCCTTTTACTCAGATCGCAGTGAATGTGAGTGGGTTGTGGCATTGGTACTTTCTTTGGGCAACATGATAAGCCTCATGTTTGGTGCACTATGTCTGTGATTGAGCTGTGGCCTGGTAGCTGTGTTTCTTGGGCAAGACACTCACATAGTGCCCCCCCTCCCCCCCAAGGAAATAAGATTTATAAACTTAAGAGGAGACAGACAGATATTGTGAACGTTTGTTGTCTCCAGGGACACCAAGAACAAATCAGTGAGAATGTTGAAAATTCATTAGTGTTTTTGGGGATGGGGTTCTTTGTGTTGCACCAGTTTCCAGGAATGCTTCAACTCTTTACAATCCGACATCAGTTTCCATATTCTATTTACTATTCTTTATTCATTTTCTTTGGTAGCGACAAGGAGAATTCATGTCACAATCAAATTTTCTCAGGTTGACGATTATTTCCTTTATTCTCATGGTCTTAATGAATGATTCGGCAGTATTGCTGTTAGGAGAACTTATGGTCTTTTATTAGGAAACTTTCATCACATCACCATGGTTTTCAGAAAGGTTGTTTAGAAGGACTGGGAACTAGTCTGACCAGGAGGTCAAATAGACCGCCATGTTGTTTTGTCGTACTGGTGTAGCTTGTTATTTCGTTAAATTAAATGAGTTAAATTTGTGAAGAATTGTTTTGCTTTGAGCCCGGAACTCGCTCGGAAGAACAAAGGTCCTAACTTAGATTAAAGGTAGTAAACCAGACCATACAGTAAAGTAAAAGATAGCCAGAAATACTAAAATAAATATAAAAACTAAATTAAAAATTGGTAAAGAGCTACGATTGAAATACAAGAAGAATTAAATAAAAAAGCAACTAAAAATGCTACGCTCAAAATTTTCAATGTCAGGTGCATTTCTAATGGCTTTATCTAGGTTCCAATCTTTCAGAGAGTGTTAATACACTCTCTGTTCACTCCAATTTTTGGTTGTAAGGGATAGCCTAAGCATGTTTCTATTTTATTATGAACGTCCCTGTTTACTATTAAAGAGGGTAAGTTTCTAAAGAAACTGCGGTGCTGCGTCGGTGGGGGTAACAAGGTAATTCGGTTGTATCAACTAAGTTGAAATTGTAAATTGGCCACCGTAAAGAGTTAAAAAAGCTGACGTTTCGAGCGTTAGCCCTTCGTCAGTAGGTCCAGTCAGTGATCCATAAGGCCATTAATACACTTGTAAACATATGTACAGCGATGATAAAACCTGCGGTGTTCAAGGAGAAGTTAGATATTGATGACTGTGAGGGCTAAAAATTCATGTTGATTCATGCAGGATTGTTTTACTTGACCTTCCTCTGTAGGGTGGTAATGATATTCCTGTCAAGGAAATCTTAGATCTGATGCAGGCCGACCCAGCTTTTGATGTTCTTTTCTCAGTGTTTGGACTTGGTGAGTGAAAGTTCTTTCATGAGTAGGTTGTAAGTCAGTTTTCAATTAAGCATTTGAATGCTACGGCGCGGTGGACTCGTCGACGAGCCAGGCTGGTGAGTGAGTTCGAATTTCTGTATAGTCTGTCAACAATTATTGATCAGTCAGTAACTGATATGGGATTCTTATTATCTAACAGATGCTCTAGACGCTTTGCCATCAACAGCTAATGCTCCAGCAGACACAAGCTTAGGTACTGAGATGTCGCCTGGATCACGTCAGCCCATGGACTCTCTTTGCGTGCCATCATCATCTGCTGCTCCAGCTCAACTTTCAGGTAATGAAATCATTGGAATTGTAACTACATAGATTAAACGAACCAACGTAGCTAAGGCTGGTAGTTCTTTACTGACTTCAACTGAAGACGTAAAACTAAAACAAATGCAAAAATTACACGTAAGACTCGATGCGAACATCTGTCGAGCGACGCTACACAAAGACACATGAAATAAACTGGAAATAAACCTCAAAACCAACACTCATCGAACTTGAGAGATAAAACATACACGCTGTTACCTTGTCTAGCCTTAAGGCTCGCGGTAGCAAGACAAAGAAAGCACGCTAATTAAACGAGCGTGAATCTACCGAAACTTGTGTCAAACTTACGACTACGCTAGTCCAAAAACGCACTGGTCACGTGACTAAAAAGGCGCGAAAAGTAACCGCGCGGGAACAGGTATACTCCCTAAAATAGCCCAGATTTTGTCTTTTAAGTGAGGTTCAAGTTGTAACGTTCCTTAAATTACACGTAACTTTCTTGTTCAACGTGAGATTGTGGTGTTTTTTCAAACTATGCCGGGATGCAGGGTTCTACTGTGAAACTAAGAAAACCATGAACAGCATAAATATTTGTACGTATGATGCACGATCCTCGCAGTAGAAAGCGCTATTTATGTAATAGCGAAAATGAGACCTGAAAAAAATCAGGCCTGTACGGGATTCGAACCACTGACCTCTGCGATACTAGTGCAGCGCTCTACCAATTGAGCTAACAAGCCAACTGGGAGCAGGCCGTTAAGTTGATTCGTAATAAACCCATGATGATAAATCAGATACAATGAATATATGAAGTTCATATATTTTGAACTGCGGTTGTAGATACGTATGATGCACGATCCTCGCAGTAGT